ATCCTTGTTTCGACTTCTTTCCTTTCCGTGTAGCTTTAATTAGCTTTAAATACCCTTAAAACGGAGCACTGATGGAAAGAGGGAGCGAAATGAACGCACCATTGGCCTCAGCAAGTTAATTAGTCAATGACCATCACGAACGACGTAAAATAAGGACGCTTTGCATTTACCTTTTTATGCATATGGAAAGCTAAAGAAATCCTTACCGGGGCTTTTACAACAAAATCCCCCTTATTATAACATTTTTATATAAATTTTTAAATTATTGAGTTTTTTAATGTACCAAAACACTTCAGTGCTGCCAGGGGGGTTGGTTACCATCAGCGTTGGCATACAAAGACTTTGGTAGTGCAATAACGTCAAAAAAGGTTTATTTCAAAAACTGTCGATAATGTTATCCTAGCAAGTCGCGTGATATGTGACGTCATACACCCAAAATCGTTGGGGTGACTGACAGGACACGTGACTACATCCCTACCAAGTTTCGTAATCACAGGTTGTATTGCCGCGGAGAAAATGGGACAGGGGCCACCAGAGGTGTGGGGCCACCAGACGTGGGGCCACCAGACGTGGGGCCACCAGACGTGGGGCCACCAGACGTTGGTGGAACGTGCCAACCCCTTCTCAATTTACCTGGTAAATCCACTATAATTTGTAATTCTTGTGGCAGAAAAGTCCGAACACAAGACAGCACGTACGAACAGTTAAAGCAAGGAACAGATAGAACGTCAACAGACGCCGCTAGCGCGGGCGCTTCTCCAGAAATAAGAAGTCCTTCCCGCAAAGTCCGAAGAGTTCGATCGCCAGCCTCGAAGAAAACTTTGACTTTTGAACGCGAGGCACTTAAAGAAAACCTAGTTACCAAAGCTTTAAATATTGACGATCTTCAGCTAGGTGCTGAAACTGCAGACATTAAAGTTGTCATAGCATACCCGAGCGGGAATGTTGTTGTGAAGAAACATTTTGACAGCRTAAGTAAGGCTATAATAAGAAATATTTCACTGAAGCATTGGCAGCATGCTATAAGCTCTATTTTCAYCCATCAAACCCTCCGCGAAGAGCTTATTGCAAGTTAGAAAGGGAAATAAAACAAGAAGTAATTGAGTACTCGCGATCTGACAATGTTTTAAAGAATAGCGAGCCAGACCAGCTTGCCGTCTTCTCCAACCGTGTTCTCTTTCACGAGGTTGACACTTGCTGCCCATTCTTTAGCACTGTCCTAAAAAGCGCCTGCAATTATGACGAAGACAACTTAAAAGAGAAGTGTGTCAACGCAATGGCTCTTGCTACATCTACCCTACTTCGTTGCAGAAACGCAACATTGTCTGCTGTAGCCTACAGAATGTCTACTCTACTCTTCCACAGTGGCGCAAGTTTTACCGACCACGTTAGGCTAAATCATTTAGGCGTTTGCATGTCTCCTCAAATGTCCAACGTGCTGCAACGCAAGATGGTCGAAAATTCTAACTTTAAAGTTGTACTTTGGAAGCGTGAAATAGAAGCTAACAAAACTGCGCTACTTCTGCTGGAAGAAATTAGAATGAAGCAAATCCCCCAAAGGCAAGATGACGACATGGTCTGCGAAATGGTTATCGACATTGCAATGGACGCTTTGTCAGGTTATCGCTGGTTCACCAATACATCTTTCGAGAAGGCCACCTCAGTTTTAAAGGACGTTCAGTTGAAGGTGTTAGATACAGCTATAACCGAGGATACTTTGAATGATGCCATCATGAAGTTAACAGGAGAGAGATTACCCCATTACAAGTAAGATTTCTAAAAAAAATAATCATAGTAATAATAATAATACAACCTGAAAAGGAGAAATTGCATGCACATCAATCAAACGAAATCTGACAAAATTACTTTAAGACTTTGGTATGCAGAATTGTAGAAATCGAATCAATAGCCACATTTTAAAGGATATAAATATTTATATATTATAATTATTGATATCATAATATTTAACTGTCATCGGTACTCAGTTGCACATTGTCATTAATATTAAGCCGTATATATCTACAACCGATCTACAATTGATTGAGTTACTCCCTGATGAAAATATGCAGCATAATCTTGTGTGGCAGTGGGCGGTTTTGGTTAGCTGAGTGGTTACGAAGTACCTAAGCCAATTTAAGAGTTTTGTCTAAATATGTAATACATCCCATCCCACATAATTACTCAAAAGAGATGGCAGCCAAATCTGAAATTGTGAGTACTGGTAACAAAAATATAGAACATTGTATATATGGTTCACTTTCATAATCCACTTAAATAGATCATTTCAAATATTAAAAGTTGATCTAATAGCTGTTATCATACATCCATGCAAATAAGATAATCTTCTGTTTTAAGAAGCATACAAGCAAGGCTATTGCAGTGCTTGCATTTAACTGTGACAACAGTCTCTATGCTTTGAGACTGTATGCAAAAGCAATTTTGATTTGACTTCTTTTTGCATTTTTAAGTAGGCATTAAAAGTTTGTCAATTCAAGATGGCATAAGTATGGAGTTAGCCAACGTATGGAGTGCACACAGTAATTTGTGAAACTTTAGTATCACTAAGTGCACTGCTTTGTACAAATTATATCCTTTGACTTCTATTGTTTAATTAGCACTATTTTGTACGAAATAGCAATTAGAGTTTGACGGATATACTGTGTGTACTCTATGTATGTCTGCACTGTTCACACACTTGTGTGTAAACTATTTGTGATGTGAAAAATAGTGGTAATCTTAGAAAAGCAGTGCATGAGGTTCAAAGCAGACAACATAAAACTGATTTATATATTTTTTCTTTTTGATTTGTTCCAGTCTTATTTGGATATGGAGTTTGTGGTGTATTTGTGTTTTATTATGTACGATCGTCATATATAATTACATGTCAATCAATGCAAATCTAA